GCGGTGCGAGCGGAGGGCAAGCGGAGGCCGGGCGGTGCGAGCGGAGGCCGGGCGGTGTTTTTATTTAGAAATTTAAATTTTTTTCCTGAAATTTCCCTCTTAAAATGAAGATGCGTGTTATACGCCTGTGTGTGTTATACGCCGATAAATACGGTATATGTAAAACATGCCCACAATGCATTTGAACTTTCTGTGATGTAAAGTATAACAAAAACGAAGAACTCATTGCTATCATTGCTATATAGCAATGTTAGGAATGAATATTTTACAAATGAATTCACTTCCTTTCAGAACTGTCCTATAACCCTGAAAAGAGTGTTGTAAAAATGGACTTGAGCCTGTCTCTAAAGCATCATTTAGCATTTAACGTCTCAATTTTGATTATTGTATATGGAATCTGCTGCAAATGATCAAATGGCTCTGCCTTTCAAAATGCTAAGGCACGTGTATTTAAATAAGTTGATTAATAAGTAGCAGCACTTCCTCTGCTCCCTGGAAATAATTGCAAATGGTTGCATAGCATTGCATTAAAAGAAGCGCAAAATTGGATTCCTAATTTAGGTGCTTTGGATATGAGTCTAAATTCCCCATGTTAAAATGTAAAGTGCTTTTAAAGTGGAGAATTTTAAACGCAGCCTGTAACATAGATATAGAACAATTTGGCAAAACCTGTTAAAGTTTTATTTCGACTAAATCCCACAGAACACAAGTAGGCCTTAACTTACTGCTACAACTGAGCCCCAAATTTCTGTTGCTAAGCGAGATATTCGTTAAGTGAATTTTGCCCCGTTTTACAATCTTTCTTGCTACAGTCGCTAAGTGAAGCACCGCAGTTGTTAAGTCACACGGTCGTTAAGGATCTGGCTTCCCCATTGCCTTCGCTTGTCAGAAGGTGGCAAAAGGGGATCACATGACCCCGGGACACTGCAGCCATCATTAATGTGAATCAGTTACCAAGCATCCAAATTTTGATCATGTGAATATGTGAGTGTAAAAAACGGTCATGTCACTTTTCTCAGTTCCATTTTAACTTTGCAGTAAGCCTCGAATATATGATTGTCTGGCTTGTTATCAGTAATAGCAATTTATGAACTTGTCCCATTAGTATAAATATGTTTACAGGATCATTATGGAAACAGTATTGTTGATTATTACTAGGTTCTTCATACAACACACATACACACACATGTCTGTGTTGATCTAGCTAGCTACCTAGCTAGTATCTCAGCCTGGTGTCAACTTTAGCGGGTTTGGAGATAAATGAAACGATGATGATTGACATCTCAGAGACTGTACATTTGTTTCATTTTTATGCAGATGATCATAAAATTGATTCGTAGTAATATGAAGACAAATTTTATGCACGTTGTTTTTCCCCATGTACAAGTAATGATGTAGATGCAGTTGAAGTGGTTTCTATCTAATAGATTTGTACAGAACGGGCCAAAAATTGTGTAGCAGATGGCTTTTGTTTATTTAAGTATGCTTTCTTCTTTTAAGTATGTTTTCTTGTGACTTGTTTCTTCTGTGAGTTACTGCTACCAATAGAATGATATACAATCTGATTTTGTTTTATAGGCTAACTTTGAATTGGACTTCATATTTGCTTAGACGACCTGGAATTTCCTGTTTTTAAGAATAAGTGTCATACTACACAGGTGGGTTTTGTATGCTTGGAATGCATTGTTTCTACAGTATTATAATATATTAACTAGCTATTGTTCCTGTTAAAGGGACCAGCCCAGGCAAATCAGGAAGTAATGGAATTTTCTCTCTGTGCTTCTTTCGTATACTGGCTTATAACCTTCTGGTTAAAATTTGGGCAGGAATCGTATATCAGGTAGGATTACAAAATGTCTGAAGGCCTACCTTTTGTAAGTGATCACCTGTATTTTATTTAGCACCTTTTTGTAGTGGATGTGTGGATGACTTTGGGAAATAAGGAGAAAGATGCTGCCTAGAAAACAGGTAAGAGAGGCAGGAGCCCCCAATGGCTTAAGGATCAAAGGAAGAAACTTAAGGGGGGGACCCGTCCTAATGTATCCAGCAGTGGTGGGAAGTTTGCACTTTCAGGCTTGCAAGATAGAAGTCAACCCTCCCAGCTAAACCAGAGAGGAAGTACAAACTGGACGAACTAATTCTGTTTTGTTGTAAGGCTGCATTAATAGAACTCTGTGAGTCTGATGCCACAAATTTCCTGCCAGCTCTTTCAACTGCTTGATCGGTTAAAGGGCGGGTCCTTCCAATGTTGATCTGACCCATAAACCACTGGGGGCTCCACCCTTTCTTTGTCTGATTGTTTCCTAGACAACATCTCTTTCCCATGCTTCTTCAAGGTCATCTAACATGTCCCATTAAACTTCTCAACCAGGCTTATGACAATTAATCGATTTGTCTTTGAGATAAGGTTTCCTTTCTTGGTACATAGATAAGTGACTGAAATACATTAAGGAAGCATATAATGATTTTCAAGCAGAGTAAATATTTTTCTTGGAATAAAAACCTTGCACACTCTTAGACTAGAATGAAATGTGAGGTTTTGGGTAGTACGGTTAGATTGAAGACACTTTAAAAATGTTGCAGTGAAATGTATTCATTTATTTATAAATAATTCAAGGTGGAGAACATACCTGATACTCCTTCCTCTTCCTATTTTTCTCATAATAACAGCCCTGTGGTGTGAGTTGGGCTGAAAGAAAGTGATGGATCTAAAGTTTCACAGCCAGCTTTCATGCTTTTAAGGCAGAACTAGAACTCACTGTGTCCTGGTGATTGATCCAAAGCCAGTTTTCACATCTAAGGTAGAACTAGAACTCATTGTCTCCTAGTTTCTTGCCTTCAAAATACCTCGTGTTTTGATATCAGATCCAGAGATATTTTTCAGTTATGTAGTCAGGCTTCTGATATTGAATTGGATCAGCTGTTTTGTATGAAACTTCCTTGAGTTGAGTGATCTTAGATTTGAAAGCTTTTTTTTTTAACTTGATAGTTTAATAAAGGACTATTTTCCAAACTTTTTTGTTTTCTTTTTCAGATAGCAAGATGAGTTCCTTAATAGAAACCCCTGAGCTGCCGGCAGTGTTTGATGGGGTTAAATTGGCTGCTGTCGCTGCTATTCTTTACATTATTGTCCGTTGCCTGAATCTGAAGAGCCCAACTGCTCCTCCTGAGCTCATATACCAAGACACACCTTTAGCCCGCTTCCTAATAAAATCGTGCCCTCTCCTAACCAAAGAGTGAGTAGTCCACCAATATATGGAATTATTTGGCTATTTTGATTTAATGTTAGCAAGGTAAGGGGAAGCTGTGTACAATATTGGAAGCAACTTCATCAGGTTAGATGCTTTCTTTACATCATAAAAGCCTTGCCTTACGAATCTCTTCCTACAGTAAATGAAATTTGCTTTGCTTAATTAAAAGTGCCTACTTTATCAAAAAAAATCTGTAAATCCCGGAGGGAGAGCAAGTCTGAAACCCTCAATTCAGCCAGGATCAAGGTGTGGTTGAATCAGAGAAGCTGCGAAACCACTTCTTGGAAAAGAAAGCACTTCTGAGAGACCTATTATACCTGAAGTTGAAATTCAGGTAGAGACTAAATCGGCTCGTCTAATTATAGATTAAATTGTTTTGTTTTGGATAGTTGAAGGAGTGGTACCCATTTGCCTCAGGAAATCTTGTGTGTAGATGGTTTCCAAGCCTTGGTTTTCTTTTGCATTCACCCTCCTGTGTTCTTGAATGGCTATAAAAATTCATCAATAACACCTGTCAATTTCCGATTTTGCCCTTGAACTATTTGGGGAAGGGAATAGGTGTGATATAGGTTATGGCTGCAAATAATAATTATTATTATTGTTTGTTAGTGGCTTTTATAATGGATTCTGTAACATCTTCCAGGGACTTATTTTAGTCTTAACGTTATGATAATGTTCACCTGTAGTGCATATTTGGAGTATTTTGCAGTGCTTTACTTAGGAAATTACTCAAAAATGCTTATGTTATGAATGCTGCTACAGCCGTTTTAAGAAAATAAGGTAATTAATTAAAAGCAAAAACTTACCAATTGTTTAAAAGTATTCTGGGACTTTTCAGATGCAACCATTACAACATTTTGTGTAAATATTTTTTGCTTTACATTTTACGTTTTGAATAGCGATTCCCTTGTGCCCCTTTGGGGGAAAAAAACCTCTTGGTGTTTTTTTCCCTCTGACTATCTCCCATTTACCACAGTTTTAGATTTAAGCCTCAAAGAACACATGTAGCCCTCTACAGACATTTTAAAACTCACTCCACTTCATTTTGCCTGGCAAGAGAATGAGGCTATACATTTTAACTCCAAGTAACAAAAGCCCCATGAATGCATAGCCAGCTTGTGCAACCATCAGCTGTTTCTTATTGCCAGACAATGAGTGCCTGCCTGCCTAGTGCTTGCTTTCTTCAGAGAAAGTTTAGTAATTGGATTATCCAGTTTTACTAGTCATATAAAGAAGATTTTCATTTGTATTGTGTGCCAGCAGAAGACAGTCTGATTACTGCCTTTGCCCATGGTAATCTGAGTGCTTTGTGAAGAAACATTCCCTGCAAGCCTCTAAGTTTGATGTATAACCCTATGCAGATATGAAAATAACCCTATTCCCCTTTCCCATCTGTGTTTAGAAGTAAAAGGAAAGCCAGTTTAATGGCTGAATGTTGGCTCTGTGGGTTGATGCTGATTTGCAACCCGGGATTTCATGCTAACTTTGTTACTGGCTGCTGGGTCTGAATTCAAGGAACACTAAACCATCGTAGCTCAGGAAGGCTCTTTTGCTCTGACGTTGCATTATACTTCTACAGGTTTTTGTGCTATATCAGAACTTGCCTTACCTCTTCTCTTTCCTGACTATTCCACTTTGCTATATTACCTTCTTTAAATTTTGTTTTAATGGCTCTTTCTTCTCTAGCTATTGGGCGCTTTCTTATCCCTCTTTTGTGTGCATGCGTACGGGTACCCCAAAGAACACCATACCTCATCCGCTTCAACATTTTTGAGGGGAGGAACAGATAAATTTTACACGTAGAAAAAAAATACCCACAGTTTTTATTATTATTATTATTATTATTATTATTATTATTATTATTATTATTATTATTATCTTAATTCTTTGCGTTATGTTTGTATTAATTGCAGAATTAGCAACAATTTATTTACCTTTTGTAGTACAGAAAGTCCTCAACAGCCCCAATTGAGCCCAAAATTTCTGTCGTTAAGTGAAACATTTTGTTAAGTGAGTTTTGCCCCATTTTGCAACCTTTCTTGTCACAGTTAAGTGAATCACTGCAGTTGTTAAGTTAGTAACCTGGTTGTTAAGTGAATCTGGCTTCCCCCTTGACTTCGCTTGTCAGAAGGTCGCAAGAGTGGGTCATGTATATGAACCAGTTGCCAAGTGTCTGAATTTTGATCATGTCATAACTCTGAAAAAACGGTCATAAGTCACATTTTTCAATGCCGTTGTAATTTCAAATGGTCACTAAATGATTTGTTGTAAGTTGAGGACTATGTGTACAATACACCTTAGAAGTATAATAGCAATAGCACTTAGATTTATAAGCAGTTTACAGAGTCAGCCTCTGGCCCAACAATCTGGGTCCTCATTTTATCTACCTCAGAAGGCTGAGTCAACCTTGAGCCTGGTGAGATTTGATCTGCCAAATTGCAGGCAGCCGACAGTCAGCAGAAGTAGCCTGCAGTACCGCACTCTTAACCACTGCGGCACCGAGTTACTTATTACTGTAATAATACTTCCTGGTATAGCTCCCTTTACTCCTGAAATGAACCAATACATTTAAAGTTCTCTTATTTCTATATCATGGGGATCAAGTGGTTCTTATGACATCAGGAGTAAAAGTCAGCCTTTAAGAGTGTTCTGTCCTCTGCTAGAACATTGGGCACAAAATTCCTCCCCCAACCCACAAGTAAAGGCATAATCTTGTGTTACGTTTGCTCATCCATAGTTCTGGAAGATCTGCTTCTCATAATTTTTTTTTTGAAGGAACCAATTTTGTTCCTGAACAATATCTGCATTATACCAGTAGTTAATTAAACTTCTGTCCCCTCCACACTGGGTTTTATATTTAGCTAACTATTTTTCTTGCGAACTAACTAAAAAACCCTCCACCAATATGTTGTATAATTCCTTCAGTTAGCCGGATCCGTTGTAATGGGTTTGTACTTAAAAACCTAAGACTTTTAACAAATATTCTAGGAGGTTTTTTTTTTAAATACCTGCACTTAGACAACTTCAGAGATGACAGCTGATACAAAGTACAGAACAGGGGAAAAATTGCTGCTATTAAACTGGGTGTAGAATGTGTGGAATTTTAATTGCCATGTTTCATGTGGGAATTCCAAGGAACTTATTAAAGCTTAAGAGATTTTGCATATTTCTTCTAGCTTGATCTCCGAACAAATGGATAACAACACATGTAGGTCAAGCTGTATTTTTCGGTTCTAATAAAATCAGCTTGTGAAGCAGCCAAGTTTTTCAAATAGGCCCATGAAAAATAGCATTCTCAGGGCACAGTTGATAGGATTTAATTCGCTTTCCACCAACTCAGTGATTACATTAATCTGGCTATTTGTTCTGGGTTACCTCCAAATCATTCAACAATAGTTAATGCTGGTTGTAAAATAATGGAACTGCAAACAGCATGTGATAAAAGTCTGAATATCCTTAGCACGATTAGCAAGATAATGTTCCCCCTTTAGCAAAATACATGAATAATAGAGATGTGCCAAACAAGGGGTTCCAAGCATGGGTCACCAACTTTTTAGAAGCCTTCTAGATTGAGGTTCTTGATAGCCATGTGGCTTTCAAGATATCAACGCACCTTGATGATATTTCAGAAATCCTGAAAGACTTGGCTCTTCTGTTTGGTTAGGGTGGTTTGGACTCCTGTAATGTTATTTGCGACTATGTTTTAGCCAGGGTTGCCATTGTTCTTGTTTTTTAATTCTTTTTGTGATTATTGTACAGTATTTTCTGTTCCCTTAACTTTATTGTGCACCACCCAGAATCATTTGGAAGTTGGACATTGCCTAAACTATACATTCAGCTAAATCTCTATAGCAAAAATGGCTTATGGTATTCTATACAAAACGGTAGGTTTTAGATATCCATATTGAATGGATACTCTGCAGAGATTAAATGTGATAAGAAGGCAGAGTTTATATTTAACAGCTTTTCCCTGCCTTTAGTGATTTAGACAAGAATACATACTACACTCTAGTCTGAACAGAACAGAACAGAGTGGGAAGGGATTTCAGAGGTCTTCTAGTCCAACCCCTTGCACAAGCAGTGCACCCTATACCATTCTGGACAAATGGCTTATCCAATCTCTTCTTAAAAGCCTCCAGTGATGGAACACCCATACTTTTATATGAAAGTTTAACATAGGAGCCAGCTTATACATTGAACTAAGCCATAATGCAAATTATTTAGTTTTGGCTTGGCAGTACTATATGGACCCACTCATTGTGGTTTGTAAACCATGGTATAAAGCTTAATGTGAAAAACTAGCAAATTATAATTTGTTCAGTAGAATAGAATAGAATAACAGAGTTGGAAGGGACCTTGGAGGTCTTCTAGTCCAACCTCCTGCCTAGGCAGGAAACCCTACACCACTTCAGACAAATGGTTATCCAACATCTTTTTAAAAACCTCCAGTGTTGCAGCATTCACAGCTTCTGGAGGCAAGTTGTTCCACTGATTGGTTGTTCTCACTGTCAGGAAATTTCTCCTTAGTTCTAGCTTGCTTGTTTCTTTGATTAGTTTCCCTCCATTGCTTCTTGTCCTCTTGTGCTTTGGAGTAAAAGTTTCTTACTATGTCTCTTGGAAGAATATTCTATAATCATGGAACACAGTAGAGAAGCGACTTGATCAGCAAATGTATATGGCAGGAATTTCATTTAGATGGTGCGAAATTCAACATAGCACTTTGAACTGGACCCAGAACCAGGCTGAAAGCCAGTGCATCTGGCAAAAATAGCAGTGCTTGATGGCTTTGGTTTGAAGTAACTCAAAATCCTTCCCAGTCTCCAAAAGTATTTTTACCTCCAGCACATTGCAGTAATTATTACACCTCATGATAGCCTTAACCCAGCTTTTCCTTTTCTAGATGGGGCTCGCTGTTGGCATGTCAACTGATAAAAAAGTGCTTTGTCATAGAGGACATTAACATATCCAGTAGCTGTAGCAGATTCAAGGGCACCACTAACTTTTGCACCTGATTTGCTAGAGTGCAGCCTGTCCTTCACCACAAGCTGGACGCTGATCTGGGCATTTAAGCCAAATGGCAGGAACATTCTTCAGTGAATTAATAGTCATTCACTCTAGTTCTATGCTGGAGGACTGGTTCCAAATACCTGTTGGTTCATTTGGGCTAGATGAAAATGAAAGCTTGAATCGAGTAATTTGCAATTTTAGGGACAACTTTTGTCCTGTTCTCAGCTGTTATTATATATGTGTTAAATAAGCTGATGGATAAAACGGAGCCCAGAGGAACAGCGATGAACTTCTAGTACCATCACTCATCTAAAAATAGAATTAATGTAAAATAATGCAACCATTTACAATACACAAGTCAGTAGTAATATTATATAGTTATTGCTTTTTATATCAAAAGCTATAGGAGGTCCAAAAGAATCATTCCAGTGGATTGTGTTGAGAAGAAAAGAATTGTGCCCCTGAAGCTTGATGGCTTTGTGTTTCATTGACAAACAAGACAAGACTTTTGGAATATTTTCATCAGAGTTTTAAACACACACAGTTATCCTGAATTATCAATCACAAAAATTTCAAGTGTGTTCTGTTTGTCAATTTTAATATATCTCATTTCTGAAAGAACTTAGAGAGGTAAAAGGGAGGTAGCCAAACTGCTAAAAAAACACCCTTAATTTCCAGTATGAGCATTTAATAACTGTGTGGCTAACCCTTCATGCATGTACTGCTAGTCAGATTAAAACACTGCATGGAATGTGAAAGATGCATGAATGTTTCTGCAAACAAATAGGATAGGATTACAATCCTAGTGGTCCCACTGCCTTAACTTTATTACAGTCAGAGATTCCATGACATCACAAATTCCTTGGATAAGTGTCTGCCTTTTTTTCTTCCTCCTTTTCGTTCATGGGTGTCCTCGGAAGGCTCTTACATTCCTTTTTGTATATATACCACTCTGTTACCACTGCTCTTCAGGGCTGAGCATTTCTCTATTCCAGGGGTATCAAACTCAAGGCCCGGGGCCTGAATCTGGCCCGCAAGATGGGCTAGATCTGGCCTGCGGGGCTGCCCTGGAAACAGCAAAGGACTGGCCCGCGAGGCTCCCAAGCTCCATTTTCTCTGGCAGAGAGTTTCATAGAATAACAGAGTTGGAAGGGACCTTGGATGTCATCTGGTCCAATCCCCTGCTCGAGCAGGAGAGTCTATTCCAAATATTGGCTTCTACCTAGGATCGAACTTAGAACTGAGCAGGAAGCCATCACAGCCGAAAACGGAGCCCATTTTCGCTGGCAGAGTGCTTGGGCCCCCACCGGCACCCCTGACATGAGTGATGTCAAGCTGGCCACGCCCTCCCTGGCCCCCTCAAGGTCAAACACAACCATGATGTGAGCCCTCAATGAAATCGAGTTTGACACCCCTGCTCTATGCCAATTGTTTCAGCTTTTATTCCCCCTTTCATCTATTTTGCTAATGTTTATCATCGTATACGACACAAATGGAAACAAAAGAAAGTTAAATAAAAAGGAGAGGTACCGAAAGAAAGGAAGAAGGAAAGGGACTTCTGATTTTGTTTTAATGCAATAGACAACAACAACAAAAGTTACAACCTCAGCCCTTTGCTTCCTATTTCTATAACAGTGTTTCAAACCATTTTTGTAGCAGCCTTTCAAGTCATTTCTATAACAGTGTTTCAAGCTGTTTCTGTAACAAGTATTTCAGCTTTTACTCCCCATAATGAGGATGGTAATTATTTTACATGCTGTACTCAGGTTCCTGAGCAATATTGACCAGCTGTTCCCTGTTTAAATATTTGACAACACATTACAGTTTGTCCTTGACTTAAGACCACAGAATGAATGTTGCACTAAAATGGCTCCTGGCTTGATCAGCAGGGCCATTCTTCTATATTTCTGGATCAGCCTCTAAAGAATGTGCTTGTCCTGTTTTGATAGTTTGGAAATGCTAGCCAGGTGTTTTCTGGCAAAATGGTGGTGTTGAAAGCAATGTCAGTCCATTTTTAACCTCTTCATTTCCTCTTATTTACCATTTCCCCTTTAGTATATCGAAAACCATAAAATTAAGATACAAGGCCATCTGCTTTAGCACCACTTATGGCACTTTTGTGATGACTCTAATATATATGTTGTTTGCTCTCAAAGGTGCTGCTTTGGGAAGTGTTTTTTTCAGAGGTTACTAAATTATACCCGATCCTCAGATTTGACATCTGTTGCCCCTTTGGCTCTTAACTGTGACCTCTGCTATTTATCTGAGCTATCTAGATTGTATATCAACTTAGGTAAACATTTGTGTCCAAGCTGGTCTGCTAAAAAAAGATCTATATTTCTTCATGGTTGTTTTTGTAGAAGTAAACATTTCTCTCCAAGGCAGCTTGCTAATAAATTATGATTGATTTATATTGCTTTTATGGATAACATATGTAATTGTAATCCTTCATTATTATGGTGCTATATTGTACTTTGGTTTTTCCTCATATTTTTTTCACTTTCTAAGCACTTTTTATGTGTGGGGGGTTCCCCCCCCCCTTTCTTTGAAAATATAAGTATTTGCACTATAAATTAAAGATGGGTCTGAAAGCAAAACCGCAAGTTTGCACGTATTTCAATGTGGGCATTTCCGTTTTCTCTTTAGATACATTCCACCTTTGATCTGGGGAAAGAGCGGGCACATCCAGACTGCGCTTTACGGCAAGATGGGGAGAGTAGGTTCACCGCACCCTTACGGGCTTCGCAAGTACCTCACCATGGCAGACGGTGCCACAGCGACTTTTGACCTCTTTGAACCGCTGACTGAAAACAGTAGCAAAGGTTAGCCTGTTCCTTGTCTATTCTTTCTTGACCCGGAAGTTTGAGTAAATATTTGCAGAAAGTACCATATTTGCAGAAAGTACCGGCTGCAACATTTACTCCCGTAGAGAGGCTGGAGTTTTATTGGGGCCATAACTTGCTTTTTGGTTTTGGGGGAGGCAGGGTCTGACTTTTGAACCTCTGGCCCCGAGAGCTGTCTATGTGTTATATACAAAGAAAGATTATTTTTTTATAGCCGTCAGATAAGAGGCATTGCTTCATGGCATTGATTTCTACTTTAGAGGGGTAGAATTTCAAATGTTACTCCTGTCCCCCATAAAAGTAACGCCTCTGAGATAGGTGACTAGATACAGGTAGCCCTCGACTTATGATTCAGTTAGTTCAAAGTTGCAACAGCGCTGAAAAAAGGGACGTATGACCGTTTGTTTTTTTTCACAGTTAACCTTTTCAGCATCCCCATGATCAAAATTCAGACGCTTGGCAACTGGTTCATACTTACAACTGTTGCTGTATCCCAGGGGGGTCATGTAATTTACCTTTTGCAACTTTTGGGCAAGCATAGTCAATGGGGGGAGCCAGATTCACTTAACAACCAGGTTACTAACTCATCAACTGCAGGGATTCCCCTAACAGCTCTGGCAAGAAAGGTCATAAAATGGGGCAAAACTCACTTAACAAATGTCTCGCTTAACAACAGAAGTGTTGGGCTCAATTGTGGTTGTAACTTGAGGACTATCTGTAAATCAATCAATCAATCAATCAATAATGCTTGAGATTAAGGTCTGTTAAACAGACTGTAAAGGCTGGGATTTTTTTTCCTCCCTGGGTGAGAGGAGCTTAACAAAATCTGAAACTTGTTTTGTTTGCTTGAGAGAATCCACCCTAATCATATATTTGATGTTGTCCATTTGAAGGGAAAGCACTCTGCGGGGTTTAAAGTATCCAGGTGTATTGGAAACTTCTACCAAATGTCTAAGATATTCTCCTCCCCAGTGTATTCCTTTTGCCAGAATAACACCTGGCTAGTTAATGTTTCCCACTGCAGCAGAACCTTGAACAGCAAGGTGCTTTAAAAGGTAACACTGCGCTCCTAACTGTAGCTTAATTATTGCTTAGAAAATATTATTTGATCTTTCCCCCATAGGATACCTTACTTTCCATTTGTCACACAGGCGTGAAAAATACAGACCAAAAACAAATCCCTTCTCATCCAGTCTTCTTTTTCCTTCTCCTAAAGAATAATCTTGAGAAAGGGGGAAAATGTCATGAGGTGTAAGTAATGCTAGCATCACTTATAAGAGGTTCAGAAGCTTATTATCTCTGCAGCTTATCCAGAGCTGTTTTAAGACCACCACCTCAATTTGAAGCTTCTCAGATATAATGGAGGAATTTTACGCTAACAGAGCCAGTGACTGTGACAGCTTAAAGTTATAGTTCCCATTGTGACAGGCATCCAATTAGGAAAACTGCTTTTTAAACCCTTTCTGAGAAAAAGAGGACAAACATTCTAGGGGTGGGTAGGTGCGTGCACACTTTTGTTTTCCCGTGGTTGCTGCTGCTGGCGGAAATTAATTTTTAAAAAACACTAATGAACCTGGCTATAAGATAAATAAAGGCAGGCGATTAAAAAACAAATTCTTTCTGGAATTTAAACAGCCAGTCCCATTTAGAGAAGTTGTCTTAGTCAGTAACTGCTAATTGGAGAAGTTGTTTTCAGCGATGCTTGCAGTAACTTGTCAAAATAAATTCTGGGTCATTTTAAAGAGCTTGGGAAAACAAACTGAAGTTACGTAATGGATGTCATGTTTCCTCTCTCTGTGTTGTACTGTAACATAATAAATTACCACATTCTGAGCTGTGTGTGTGTGAGAGAGAGGGAGAGAGGGAGAGAGAGAATGTAAAAATTGCTTTGTTCTGAAATTAGTCTCCAGAGATTAAAATTACCAAATGAAATGTCATTTTGCATTTTCCATATCCAACTTCTTAAATTCTTGCTCTCCGATGTTTTTATTCTCCAGAAGATATCACAATGGTCATCTGTCCTGGAATAGCTAATCACAGTGAGAAGCAGTACATCAGAACCTTTGTTGACTATGCTCAAAAGAAGGGCTACCGATGTGCTGTGTTAAATCACCTTGGGGCTCTCCCAAATATTGAACTGACTTCGCCACGCATGTTCACTTACGGTAAATATTGGCTCATTCTTCCCCCTTCTCCTGTTACCGTTAATTCCTATCATGCCTGTGTCCCTAAAAGTGTCAAAGCTGTGGGTGAGTCTAATGTGATCACTAAACTTTCAAATGGCTCAGCTCACACTTTTACAGTAAGCCCTAATGAACTTTGCTTTGTTGTGTCTAATCATGTGAACCCAAACCAGGATTGTGGTCTCTTAGAAAACATAAGTATGTTGTTAAATCATTCTAAGGAAAAAAAAATGACAGAAGGGTAATTCAATGAAAAAGACCTTTTTCAACATGAGCATGTTTCTATGTGCATGAAGAGAGAGCTGTTTTCTCCTAGAAATATACATACAGTGCTAAAGCATCAGTTTCTTTGGCTTGACTTAGATCATAGTGCCAGAAAAGGGAATAAGACATAGTTTTTCAACTACAGTACTTTTGGAGAGAAGAACAAGCTGATACTTCATAAAACCCAAAGGATAGGAGTTAGCACCAAAGGAATAATTTGTTTTTCTATTGAAATCCTATTGGCTCCTGCCATTCCTTGTATCCTGTTGTTTATGATGAATATTTCAAATCTCTAGTGTAAAGCCTTTGGCACTTCTTTTAAAAAAATAATAATTATAGTCTGTAGCCTCAGGAGATTATTCTGGAGTATTATTGAGCAATCAAAATGTTACTGTAATGCTCTGCCCTATCTTTTATTTCTCCGTTGCTTTATTTAACTATACTCAGGTTTGACACTTGAAAACTCTGTCCTGCAATGAGAAGTCCTTAAGAATAGAATACTATCATTATTCATGGTATCTGGTTTTTGCTACATGTTATTATCCTCCGTTTCTAGTTTCATGATTGTTAAAATGTTCATCATTTCTTAATTATGATTAGATTATTTTGTAAAGCACAGAAGTCTTGAAGAAACATGGGAACTTACAGTTCCATTTGCCAAAAAAGCCAGGCATGTCCAACCTTGGCAACTTTAAGATTTATGGACTTCAATTCTCCAAATTCCACAGCCAGCATGTCTTTGTCTTCATTGTTTCATAGGTTGCACCTGGGAATTTGCCGCTATGGTGACCTACATCAAGAAGACATATCCTCAGTCCAACCTTGTTGTTGTTGGCTTTAGCCTGGGTGGAAATATAGTGTGCAAATATCTTGGGGAGTCCCATATTAACCAGGAACGGGTGCTCTGTTGTGTCAGTGTGTGCCAGGGGTATAGCGCATTGAGGTAAGTTGACTGGTGAGCTTTGTTGTGGTAGAGCAGGAAGTGAGCATGTTTGCTAAGTGCTTTTCCTGAGTGTAGGGGAAATAAAGCATTTCTACATATCTTGTATTCAACCTACTACCTCTTTCTGGTCCTTTTTCAAAATACTGTCTTTTTGGGAAATTATGACAATAGAAGGCAACATTTCAGCTATAAGGTCTTCACATAGACAGATCTGAAACACTGGTGGTTCTGGAGTTAGAATTTCATGAAAGAAAAAAAGCAGTGACAAAAATATTTGAAATATACTTCTGCTTGCTGTTCTTCCACTTAAAGTAGTGGCTTTCCAAAGCTTTCAGAATTTTTAGCATTGCATTATCTAATTAAACTTTTAAGATTTATCAATCATCTTAACACATTCAGTAAAAGCAACAGCATTCAGACTTATATACTGCTTCACAGCATTTTACAGCCCCCTCGAAGCGGTTTACAGAGTCAGCATATTGCCCCCAACAATCTGGGTCCTCATTTTACCAGCCTCAGAAGGATGGATGGCTGAGTCAACCTTGAGCTGGTCAGGATCGAACTGCAGTATTGCATTCTAACCACTGTGCCACCACTGATTAACCCAAAATTCATGTAAAATGCAATAAAGCAAAGACTGCAATCAGACAAGAAAAACTAAATATACTGCAGATAGGAAATTATTATAGAAATATAAAAGGAATCAAAAGATCTGAAAGAATAAAGGCAGTTGTCTGTTTCGGGGGGGGGGGGATATTACCTCTTTTAGAGGGTATTCTATTTTCCTTGGGCAGAAACCTCATGTGATCTTTCAGTTTGGTTTGCTTCAGTCCATCACTAAAAGGGAATACAGCCGTTATCTTAATCTGTCAAGTATGGGTTTATTATTCCAATACATGTCATTCATGGTTAAAAGCCTTTTCTGTGTTCGATTTCCATTTTAAAATTGCTAATTAGGCCTAGAATGTTATTGACAACTACATCTTAACTAAATAAAAGGCTAGACTGGCCAAAATTAACGAACTTTATATTTGAAAATCTATACAACAGATAGATCTTATTGGAATACCAAAAGCACACTAATTATCCAGTAGAATTCAGCAATATCCGTATTCAAAAATATATCAACTCAGTTTGACTCTGATTTCTCACAAATTTTATATTTCAGGCCATGAAGTGGTCACAATTTTGTCCAGGTTAAATCTTTAAAAGCAATAGGATTAGAACAATGCAAGCTTTATATTTTACATCTGATTTTGTCCAATCCCATACGTGTCGAATTGAACTGGAGGAAAGTGGGACGATTCTGTACTTAATGGGAAAATGGATCCAACACTTTGTTTTTTGCAAACAGCTTGCCAAGATGATGTTGCATGGTCCATGGGTATTCAGTCAAGAGTTTGAAAGACCATAATATAACACAGAAAATTCTTGCTTGAACTACGTAATTGGTCTAAGGGACGAAGTTTTCCCTGCCAAATCTGGCTAAATATTAAAAGTCGGGATTCTGGGTTAATCTGTATGTACTTTGCCAGCTTTTGCAACATCTGATCATTCAACTGATTTTAAAAATGACCCTTTGAGACAATATAGAAAACTATACACTCTTTTCGTGATTTTTTTTTTTTTTTTTTGCAAGTTGGCAGCTTCCTATTCCTGTTTTTGAAGGTTTTGTTCCCTCTAATGGTTGACTTTTTAATAGCACTTCTCTGTGTCACTGCCTAAGTTGTGGAGCTAAGGTTAATCCTCAACATACGACTCTAATGGAGATTGCCCATTATGGTTGCATGTCGTTTCCGTCATAAAAACTTTTTTTGCAGCTATCGTTAAGTGAACACAATCATGAAATGAATGCTCTAGTACAATGTTTCTCAAACTTAGCAGCTTTACGATGGGTGGACTTGAACTCTCAAAATTCCCCAGCCATCAAGGAATTCTGGGAGTTGAAGTCCACTCATCTTAAAGTTGAAAGGTTGAGAAACTCTTCCCTAGTTGTTAAAGGACACCACATTGTTCACTAGAGCCTGGTTTTTCCCAGAACCAGAAGTGACAGTTTTCAGCAGAACTATGCTGAAATGCAGTCATGTGATTGCAAGATGCTATAAATGGCCATCAATGCAGGCATGTTGCTGAGTGCCAGAGGTGTGGTCACATGATTGTGGGGAGGGGTGTGACAGTCATAACTTTACAATTGGGTCATGCCTCCCCTTTTTCAGGTAAGTCGTAACATCAAATGGTCACTAAGCTACCACTCATAAGACAAGGACTACTTGTATTAGTGGCCCCCAGGAAAAAAATTAAAGGAGCTGTAGCACCATTAAACCTTCCAAACAGCCTCCATGTTTCCAGTGTCTTTTTCCCCACTTGGAACTGAACCCAGAAATATTTTTCTTCCAACAGAGCAATGTTGCAAGTTAGCCTCTTGTCACTATAACCTGCCAATAACTTTGATTAATTGACTTTATTTTTATTTATTTCCTCTCTATCCTTATTAGGGCACAGGAAACCTTCATGCAATGGGATCAGTGTAGGAGATTTTACAATTTTCTCATGGCAGACAACATGAAGAAAATCATCTTGTCTCACAGGTACAGAAATATATATGTTTTGCTCCAATGTACCACATGCTTGTGTTGGTTGGATTGCAGTTTTTACTACCTCAAGCTAAGTTATTTAATCAGGTTGGATAGATTATTCACTAGATTCATCTGGATGAAAACTAGGGCATTTATCTTAAAAATGTTATGTCTGTTATGACCAGAAACTGGAAAATAGAATTTTAAAAAAATAATTTTGGCATATTTTTAGATCAGCAAATCGTATGGAATACTAATAATTGTAATTGCTGCAGTGATTCCTCCTCAAGGCTTTCATGGCAAGGAACAGGGGGAAGGAAAATTTTTAGGGCATCAAGAGTTTCTTATGGTTTACAGGGTATTGAATCTCTTTAATTTGTTCCAGATATCCAAACATTTTGACAACTGCAAGATATTTTAATCTCCCTATTTTAAAAGAGTTCCCAGTCTTAAGTACAAGCAATCCTTCGCAAATCTGAAGGATATCTTGTTAATCTGCCAAAAACATTTTGTCTCCATAATAGATCTTTTGTGCTGTCGTGCAACCCCCGAGCCAAATTTCCCCAAATGTTTTGTGCTCTACAAGTACAGAAAACAAAGCTCACACATATGGCCCACAGTCCTCCTTTTGTTCCCAGCTCTTTTATTTCCTTCACAGTCAGGATCACTAATGGTCTCTATGCTCTAATGTATCAAGCCAGATTTCTCTGGTGAACAACATATGTTGAAGTAACTATTCCAAGTGAATTATTTGATTGATCGCACTGTCATATCTCTGTAATTGTGTGGTAATTGATCATGGGGAAGCACACTAACAGATTAAACAGATTAAACAGATAATCAGAGTTGGAAGGGACCTTATAGGTCATTTAGTCCAACCCCCTGCCCAAGCAGGAGACCCTACACCATTTCTGAAAAATGGCAGTCCAATCTCTTCTTGAAAGTCTCAATTGATGGCGCTCCCACAACTTCCAAGGGCAACTTCTGTTCCATGGGTTGATTGTTCTCACTGTCAGAAAGTTTCTCCTTATTTCCAGGTCGAATCTCTCCTTGTTCAGTTTCCATCCATTATTCCTTGTCTGGCCTTTGGGTGCTTTGGAAAATAGCTCGACCCACCCCTCAAATATTGGAAGACCGCTATCATGTCTCCCCTGGTTTCTTCTCTTTACTAGACTAGCCAAGCCCAGTTCTCCAAGGCTACCTATAAGCCTGATGCCTTATTATTTATATCACAAGACATCCTCCATAAAAATGTTGCCTATGAGAAAAAATTAACACATTTTTAATAGAGTTTTGCATAGTAAAACAAAATGTACCTTTTTTGAAAGGCATCCTCAAATATATTCATTTTTCCATATTCCGAAACTTATCAAAGTTCAGTTGTTTTTCTTTATAGATTTGATTTTGTTAAATGCATGTAAAAATTCAGTGACTGTTTGGTTCCTTTTTTACAGTTCTGAAATTGCATTTTTATTCTTACTATTACTCAATAAAGTTGAGGGATACATATGGGGGTTTTTGTTAGTAAATATGGAATACTGTGAAGAAACCCATCTTAAAATATTTGGACAGAAATCTTAACAATGGAATGGCAGTTTCGACTAGATTCTGTCAGACCTAAGATCAGTTTTATAAACACTAGATTTGTGATTCGTTCTAGCTTTGGTTGGATTACATTCTTCTGTTTGTAAGATTCACAAACATACTGGTATTGAATTTCATGTTGGTTTTCTAAAGGACAAATTGAAAAAGATTTGAATTTGACATAAAATACACGTGTCACACCACAATAATGTGAAGATTTGTATCCATATAGGAGCCCTGGTAGCACAGTGGTTAGAATGCAGTATTGCAGGCTAACTCTGCCCATAGCCAGGAGTTCGATCCTGATGGGGCTCAAGGTTGACTCAGCCTTTCATCCTTCCGAGGTTGGTAAAATGAGGACCCAGATTTTGGGGAGCAATATGCTGACATTGTAAACCACTGAGAGATTGCTATAAAGCACTTGGAGTGGTATATAAGTCTTAAGTGCTATTGCTATATGTAAAGCCATTTTTCAGATAATCATGACATCAAGATTATGCCTCTGATGTCTGTGATGGGCATAACAACAGCCTTTTTTTCCTATGGATTTTAGACAAGCTTTGTTTGCTGAAACTTCGAGAAAGGTACAGAGTTTAATGGAAACAGATCTAAGCAGACTTCACACAGCAACGTCTCTCATGCAGATCGATGACAGCATTATGAGGTATGCAAGAAAGTAGTAGTGTTGACTTTTCTACCTAAATGGAATGGAATGCATTATCATGATTTCTGGAAATTAAGTTTCTGGTTCATATGACTGTGCCTTAATTTCAGCCATCCTTTATTTGGATTCATTAAAAGTTACATTTGCTGCAGGATTTTTTTTTTTTTAACTATAACTCTCAGTATGCTATAAATAGCAGTATTGTGCATGAGTGAAGTTACAGGACTAAATAGAATGATTAAGCTGTAAAGTTAAGATTCTTCTGCATTTCTGTAAATTCAGGATTTTGCTAGAAAAGTTTGCTATGAGCCACGGTGGCACAGTGGTTAGAGTGCAGTACTGCAGGCTACTTCTGCTGACTGCCGGCTGACTGCAATTTGGCATTTCAAATCTCACCAGGCTCAAGGTTGACTCAGCCTTCCATCCTTCTGAGGTGAGTAAAATGAGGACCCAAATTGTTGGGGGCAATATGCTGAATCTGCAAACAACTTAGAGAGGGCTATAAAGCATTGTAAAGCGGTATATAAGTCTTAAGTGCTATTGCTATGTGTTAATTAAGGATTTATTCTCTCTTGTAATATTCTCTAGATCTTTAAACACCTGCTTAGTGTACAGTTTTATTAATGCCAAGCATGTAACCATTTTGAAAGAACCCATGCTTTTACATTTTACTTTGTTCATGGATGTTATAATTATAGTGAGGCAAACATTGATAGATTAGTTGTTTATGAGTTATACAAAACCAAAATGCTAGGACCTTTATAATCAGTTAGGCAATGGACTTCTTTAATTGCCGTTGAAAAAAGAAATCCAACTTTTAGAAATTCTTCCCTTTCAGTTAGAAGATGGTTCCCTTGAGCCTTATCTTTTATAACTCTGAAGCAGATTTATTCATCAACAAGGCAGAAATGTATTAACCTCATAGGAGGAACTGGCATTCTAATCAGGATTAATTTATCTAGGCAGAGCTAATTCAACAGAAAAAAATATTTAATGTATTAGGAGAGATTTTCTAATTATCCATCTATCCCTTCATATCAGTCCTTGACTACTAGAGACTACCTGGAACAAGTCCTGACAGTTTTCTTGGCAAAGTCTGTCTGTCTGTCTCCCCCACCCCCCACCACTATCAGTGACTCAATTATAATTCATTAAAGTTTTCCTGTGCTTCCGTTTTCTTTTCTTTTTTTTCCTGGTCTTAGAAAATTTCATGGTTACGGCTCCCTGAGAGAATATTATGAACAAGAGAGTTGTCTGCATTACTTGCACAGAGTGAGTTTATCATAGCATGTACTGAATGTTTATTGTTTTGGTTCCGTGGTTTAAAATGAAAAAAAAATAGGGAGCGGGGAGAGGTCATTTAGACTTGGGGTAGAAGATGGAGTGCAGCTTCCGTGCATTTAAGAAAAGATGCAGGTGTATATTTGGCCGAGTGTATAATACAAGTGCTAGAATTATTCTAGGGAGAATTTTATAGGATCACCTAAAAAGTTAATGTTTCTTGGGAAGTCTATAGTGACATATTTTATGATAGAGTAAGGTAATGAAAATAAAAGGCAACAAGGAAATTTTGGAACTGGAAATAAATTTGATTGGATTTATTCTTTTCATATCCTGATTCAAACTTCTGAATAATTCTTATGAAATTGTTCAGCACAAATTCCGGCCTATTTTCTGTAATCCTCATGCTGGTATACTAGCAAATAGTTGCCCCTGGAAAACATTCAAATCAATCTGCGCAAAAGGGATCTTGGAGGTCTTCTAGTCCAGCCCCCTGCCCAAGCAGAAGAACCTATACCACTTCAGAGAAGTAACCATCCAGTTTCCAGTAACCATCCAGCTTAAAAACATCCAGTGATGGAGTGCCAATGATTCCTGAAGGCAAGCTGTTCCACCGGTTAATTGTCCTCACTGTTAGGAAGTTTCTCCTTAATTCTGTAATAGTTAATAGGTTTGCAGTTTATTCACATCAAGTACGACTAAAAGTTGGTTTTTTCATGTATTCTTCCCCCATCCCTTCTCAAGGAGGAAAAAAAAACTTGCGGAAGAAGATTAACACCACAAGGGTGAATTTGTGAATTACCATAGTTTAGATATAATTTTAGATGTAAGTCTCCCCTTCCCTCACCTTGGTTGAATACTGTTCGGGTCTGTTCCTAAAAGTTTTTCTTTTGTCAGCTATGGGAATATTTTAAATATTTTTTAATGCTTATTATGCTGTAAACCACCCAAATAATCTCTAAACAATTAGATAATCTTATACTAATAATAAGTAGTAGTACTGTATAACAATTTAAGTACTCTTACTGAAGCAGTAACTAAAACATGGGGACAAATACAGGCTGAATTGTATTCTTAACCTGTGACTTGATTTCCAAAAACATATCCTAGTTCTCTAAGTCAACCTTGCTAACAGGATGTGAGTTTCTGCATATTCAGATCTCCCTAAGAGATGGCCCTCCATTAGGATATTATGAGCAGGATGCATGTTTTTTTTAAATAAAATAAATCAGACAAAACCCACATCTCACTCTTTTCTGTCTTCAGATCTTTGTTCCCCTCTTGCTGGTTAATGCTGCTGATGACCCTTTGGTGCATGATAGCCTTTTATCAATCCCAAGAGCCCTCTCAGGTAAGGCCCAACCTTTGCTTGAACTTTTCTTTCCAACCCTACTACAATGTAGAATATACCCCAATGAGTCAAGATGAGCTCAGTTCTCACATCTCTTTGGGTTCGATTTACAGTAATCATCATCTTTTAATGACCCCATGATCCCTTGCGGGGTGGAGTCTGGGCAACTGAATGGAGCCGAGTGTTTACTGTCTGGGTGCCCTTCCTGTCGCCAATGCAGAGTTTTGTTCAGCAGATACATTCTCATTGTGCCCAAAGAGAGAAATACCTAAGATCAAACTCACAGCCTCCTGATTGTGAGGCGAGAGCTCCATCTCTAGGCCATTTTTTTTGTATATGTTTTGTTTTTATTCATAAACATTTTGAATACAGTGTATTGTCGGGGCATATCACTTACAAAAACAAGAAGAAAACAAACAGTGATATTGACATGTATACTAGTAATAATAATAGTAATGTAACAGTCATTTTAACTAGAGTTCTCTTTATATTAGCTTGTTTATGATTCTGTAAATTATATCAACTTGTTTATAATTATAAACCCTCTTGATATTTAATTCATACATAACAGTAGTCTTTCTTTGCCTATTTTCTGTTGGTATCATTTGTGGCTGCCTATTAACCCTGCAAAGAAAAAGAAAAAAAAAACATTGGGGGGGAAGTCCAAAGCTAGCGAGATTGCCTTCTAAACGTCATTTATTTTTTACTCTTTCAGAAAAACGGGAGAACGTCATGTTTGTTTTACCTCTACACGGGGGCCACCTGGGATTCTTTGAGGGCTCAGTCCTTTTTCCTGAGCCCCTCACTTGGATGGATAAGCTTGTGGTGCAATACGCAGATGCCATCTGTCAATGGGAGAAGAATAAATCTCATTGCTCAGATACGGAACAATCGTCCGGCCAAGAATAAACAATCCCAAAGACTTTTCAGGTTGTTTCCAACTTAGTTCTCTTCTTCTTCCTTCCTTCCTTCCTTCCTGCTTTTTCCCAGGCCAAGCCTGGTCATCTTCAATGTAGGCATTTGACCGCAGTGTTTCATGCCAACTAGTGCTACAACACGAGGTGTTGCTGTGTCAAACAGTTTGGGAGCAGGCTGGCAGGCAATGCAGGGACAAAAGTCATCCAGTCTCCTGAGGGGTTGCTTGCCTGTAGCTTACTATAAGGTTTCAAAACCAGTGCAACACTCCTGAACATCTTTGAGAGTGGCAAGATGTTCCGATGCTTACACTTTTCACTGTTCTAAGAAAACAGAGTAACCTCCTCTGGTTGTTTTGCAAAACTTTGCCTAGCGAGATAGAAGTGTACTTTCTTTGTGGTTATGTTTCACCTTGTTGCCACCTCAGAAAAGAGAAAATTTATATACCTGCGGAAGACACCGATACGATCATCTTGGCGGGGCCCATCGGTGCAGACGTTTGCAAAGCAGGGGAGAATGATGGGGAGTTTGAATTTCCAGAATCTCACCACCTCGAGGGAGGAAGGAACCTCACTCTTCCCATGTTTAATGCATTTCAAGGATTTCGTTGGCTTTGAAAAACGTTTTGGAGAATTCCAGAACTGAACTGAACTGAGTGCATTCAATCACACACTTTGCTTTTCTCACTGGAGCTTTCCAAGTAGAAAGCTTTGGGGACTCAGTGGTAGATTCCCTACTCTGTTACTACTTGACATTAAAACAAGTAGCCTTGTAATCATTGCCTTTTCTAAAACAAGGTGTTATATTTTGAGGTAAAAGTTGTGAGTGCTCCTAACCCAGGCCTTTTAATACTGTCTGTAAGTGAAAAACCAGTGACCATCAATCTGTAAGTTGTCTGTTCTTTTTTTGTTCTTCCATAGAGAATTTTCATATGCGATGGATGGAGAAAATAAAACATCCAAATTATTTTCGCCTCCACAGCATACTAGAGCAGTGCAGTAAGATTTTGAAAGCCACAATAGTCTTGGTTTAAAGAGGTAGATTTTTTTTTTATTTAAAAAAAATGTACTGTATGCCTTAACTATTAGTGGCTTCTGCAATTCCCTGTGTCAAAAGGTGCTCATTACAATTTTCAGCTTAGTGACATCAAACTGAGATTGGCAACTTAGGGCGAGATGCAATAACACAGATACAGTGGAGAAGCAGGATTTTGGCTGCTGTAGAATAGAGAAACAGATTTTTGTACTGAGCAGGTTTCCAATCTGAAAGTGGGAAAAAAAAAACCACATCTTTATTCATACATACACACAGACACACTCATTCTGAAATCTGGATTACTTAAGACAGTGAAACGTTGCGATTAGACTATTTTTCAACTGCAGTTCTGTTTTGAACTGTCGGTTTGGTGTTCCTTCCTTACAGCATATTTCAGTTTATATTTGAACAGTCGTTCATTCCCCCTACATTATAACCCCCTATAATAGTTAGCACTTTAATGCTTCTACCTTTTGTTTTTGCTGCCTAGACACTTTAATTATAGCTGGCACTTGTTTATTTTTTTTTAACTGTTAGGAAGTCTTTCTTGAAAATAAATGTATGGGGTACCTTCCCAATCAGTTTTGAGATTCTAAAAAGTGTAACTGACTCTGAGGATTTCTTTCTTGTTATTTTTAATTGATCAATAATTTCCTATAGCAAACTACTCCAGGCTGAAAACACCTGTTCAACAAATTCTGTGACTTAAGCAGAATAAATGAATTCAGATTCTATTTTGTTCTCACATAGGAAGCATCGATCACATATTAAAAATTTTAAGTTTCTTCCCCCCCCACCACAACCTCATGGTTGCTTATCAGTTTTTTATTATGCTTATCAGTCTTCTTAATTTGCTTTTTTAACATTTCTTGCTACTTTCCAGCAAACCAAATCCAAGATAAGCATATGATTTTAGCTGCAGTAGAACATTTTAATGACCTCAAATGCTTATTTCCATTTAAGTAACAAAAAACAGACAAACAAACCTTTAGTTTGAACTGTTTTTCCTGAAATATATAAAATAGGAATGAACATGACTTATTCCTATTAAAATTTATTAAAAAGCAGGCTATAAGAATCTTAACACCATTTCTCACCATTTCCGTCTTCAGGATAACTTTCTTGTGCTTTTTATTTAAAATAAATGTAATAAAATTAGGCTTTTTCCTAATCTGGTGCTGTCCCGTCAATATCTGGTATCTTTACCTTAGTGGCTGGGAATAATATATTTCAACAACCCTGAAGGAGAATCAGTTGATAAAATAATTGCTGTGGATTAAAATTGTAAAATTCCTTGCAAGTAAAGGCACTTACTAGCCTTTATGCTGAAGGGATCGTGAGAGTAGAGTTTGCCTTTATTTTTCTTTTTAACCAGGTGCAGATTTTATGCACAATAAGACAAGGAATTTAATCCTTCCTTGTTTAAATTTTGGAAATTGAGTTGCAAGGCTGTGCAGTTGTATAATGTACCAAGTTCAATGAGGATGGCTTTCGTGACTTAAATTCATTTAGAACTACACAACCCCTTGGAAAATAATGTTTGCTTGCTCCATACTGTAAATGTAATAAGACTCTTACATGTCCCAGCTTTTATCAGGAAAATCAAAACTTTTCAGTAAGTCACACAGTCAAAGGAATGTCTTTTAAGTCACAAATTTGGTCTTTTCTGCTGCATCAATGAAAAAGTAACCCATGTTAGATCGTGGTAAATTTAATTCTAAACTTCTCTTCCTCCCACCAAATAATTCGGTAAGGAAAAGACTGGAATGATGAGAAATTGATCAACGGACAATAGTTGCCAATTTATATACCTAGATGACAAAACCCCTTTTTTATTTTAGTGAAACAGAATATTGCTTGAAAGTTCTTGGAAACAAATCAGGTTTTATTTTTCCACCATTTATTTTAAAATCAGTTAAAAGGAAACCTCTGGGCAAGATTTTGTTGAGGGAATTTTTTTTGCGTACTGGAGACATTACTGCTCATACATTTTGGGGTGAGCCCGTTATACTCCCCCTTTTAATGAAGGTAGCATTGAGAATTGCACCAAGCCCCCCTGATGAGCTGTTGTAGCCCAATGGTTCATCCTGTGTCAACTTTGCCAGTTGACCAAAAAATAGATGCCAACTCTTCCTTGGCAACAACTGTCCTAGAATTAATGCCTTGGCAGCTTGTCCTTGCATTAAAGTTACTGTAGCCTTCTTGTGGGTCAAATGTACATTTCCCAAATACATGCTAGTTGACAAGTGTTCCTTAGGTCTACATGTAAAAAAAGAAGTAGCCAACTAATAGACCATATTTCACTTTCCATTCCTTTTCCATTTAACAATTGCTGAAATTCAGCCATATTATCTCTGCCGTCTTTAAAATAAGTACTGTAACTTTGGTGCGTTAAGTCTCTGGTAGCTTCATCTGTGTATTGTTTTTTATAAGCAGGGCTGAAAATTCTGTCCCTATGCTTCCAGTGATGGCACTGCTACTCACATAGCAGATAGGTCAGTGCTTGCTTGTGTCATCCTTGGCTCCAGAAACATTGCCTATTTGTGATATTCTGAATTTCTGATCTAAAGGCGTATGTGACCAGGTTCCCCAGGTCACACAGCCCACTCATATATAATCGTAGCAGTGTGTTAGTCCCAGATACTTGCTTGATGTGCATAGGTGTGTTAATTATTTTTTTTTAAAGGAAAAATTGTTTAAAAGCACATGTCTCAAACTGTCTCATGCATACAGAGACCGAAACACGAGGCCATTTTGCTTAGATTGCATTGTTAGAATGATGTGAGCTCAGTTATTGTTCACTTCCTTTAGATGTGCAAGAACGGAGCTTCCAGTCCCTGGGTGGGATTTTTATCATAGGATACCTCAACGAGACAGCTTGACTTTCAATCGGAATGAATAGCCTGGCAGTAGTAGTGATAATAATAATTTTAAAAAGTAAGATTCAGGGGGTCCATATCATACTTTTTTTCTCTGCCCTGCCTTCTATTTCTTTCGCATATGTTAATGCAATGGTCTTAATAGCAAACCTAGTTCACTTCCTGCAGATCCTCTTAATCAGAACTAAAGGCAGTTTGTTGCTGGTTAGAGCAACTGGAGAGGGGAGATTTCTTTGCTCGCTTTAAAAAGGAAAGGATTCTCGCCCAGCGCTGCGCTGGTATTGGAGCTCTTCGCCTTCTTTGTTTCTTGCAAACTACCTTTGTGCTATATGTGTTTCTGCCTGGAATTAATTTAATTAAGTCTGTCTCACTTCTTTTTTTTTTCCTTTTCCTTGAAGTGTCCTTGATGAGATTCATAGTAAAATAAAAATAAATCAACTGGGGATCCGGGGAAGAATCTCCTTAGAGAACTGTGTGTATTCCATTTTAAACGTTCTGTTCTTTCCGCTGGTTTCATTCAAGGGCACAAGCATACACGGGCAGCATTTGGCTAAGCTGGAACAGAGAATTGCCACTCCCCTTCCTTTTTCTCTTTTCTCTACCAGAGGATATGTATTTTTATTTCCTTTCAAATCCTCAGGTCTTAGGACCACCAAAGTCCCAGCAGCTTTATTTGATTCCAGTCTTTGTGGAACACAACTATTTCCCCCCCTCAGGATTCCTGAACTGCGGGCAAAAACCTTGTATTTGAGGGCGCGGCGTTTATTTTGTTTTTGATGTTGTAACCAGTAACATCTGGATTTGTACAAATAAATTGTGCCATTATCCAGAGCGGTCCAGTTTCATATCAAGAGTAGAAAGTCATAACATTGCCTGAAACATATGAGAAATTAACCCACTAACAGGTTGTATCCATACTTTATTTTTATGACCTTCCAAGCTAACGTCATTCCAAGCTTAGAATGGGTTGCGTTTGATAGCAAATCCATGTAGGCGAAATCTTCTGATTTAAAAAAAAAAAAAAAGCACAATTTTTAAAGAGGGGAAATTCTGATTTATTACACTCTTTTTTTCCTTCTTTTCCTCTTGAACATGTCCTAATAGAGGGACCCAACACCTCAGGAAACTAGACCTGTACCTGTGCTCTTTTTCATTTGTGTCACTGCAGCTGCCTTATTGGAGTAAGTTGAGCGTTTTTGACTTTTTTTAAAAAAGCTGTTGGACATCAATTCTGCTTTATTTTATTTTATCGGCAATTTTGGATTCCGAGACCTATTTTAGGAACCCCTTCCACAATCCCAAATTCCTTTTGGAAATAAAAATGCTGCCCTGGGGAATTTTTGTGTGTGATTCTCACTACCGGTTTCATGGTTTCATTGTTTGAACCGGTTGTCTGCAGGATAATGTTTTGCAACTAGCAATGCAATTTTTTTCTAAATCTGTTAATTTTTCCAGTTTAGTAAAGTGTGTCCTTGATATATTTCTTTTTTTTGTTTTGTTTTTGTTCTGTGTGTGATCAATCAAGGCTATTGCGGAACAGTAATTTTGTTATTTGATTCAATGGAATTTCTTTGCTTAAAAAAAATAAAGACATTAACTGAGTTTGCAATGAGGAGTGTGTCTCATCATTTATCTTTACTTGAACAAGAATAAGAAGCTTTGGAATTTAGATTTCCTGTATGTCTTATTTTTCCCCAGAGGTCAAACTACCAAAAAAAACACAAATGCAGAATTCTTATTGGACAGCAGAGCCAAATGCATTGCTGCTATTTCAGATAGGGACACTTAACTACTGCAAACAATCAGTCTCTATTCAACATGCATATTGAACAAACACATACTTTAACCTGAAATTGTTTATTGTGTCTGAAATTAGAATACCATAAACCTCTGGAGAATGGGAACCAATGGATGCTTCCATTTTAAGGTTGACAAATGTTGAATGTTGAGAGGGATGATCTTGAAAATACATAATTTGCTATTTTACGCATTTAATTTAGCTCGCCGTTTATAATCGACTAGAAATGTTGCAGTGTAATTTAACTTTTTGTATGTTTCCCAGTTAAGGAAGCATGAAGTGAAATAACATAGCACAGCACTTATTGCAGATAGTTCCTAGGCCAGATTTCTCATAAAATCAGCTAAGTACTTACAAACAGATTAGTATTTTTTTGTGTTAGTGGCATTTTGGCTAACAAGCTTGTATGCCATAAAGAGACAATCAACCATAGTGCTCAATGTAAAAAGAAAGAATAGGATTAGTAATAATAGTCTAACAAGTAGTAGGAAAACTTGAAAATATCATGGGTCTGGGAGTTTAACAAATATCAATAAACAGAAAAAAAATAATTTGAAGGGAATAGAATGTGAGCAAAGTTGTATATAACAAAGGTGATTTTTGAAAAACAATTTCTCTTCTACATGCAACAAACACAGTGCACAAGACTTCGACTCTATAAATGCCTGATTAAATAAGTACATCATGTTGCTAGGCTGCAAGGGATCTGTTTAATTTCCTCTCCCAGTTCTCAGGGGGGAAAATGAATATTCAAATTTTCTGGGAGTTGGGGAAGACCATCAAGCCCTGTCTGGGTTTGGAGTAACTATAATCTGAAAAAACTAAGAAATTCAGCTCTTCCCAGCTATCTGCTAACTTTGAGATATGGAGATCTCAGTCTTGCCTGACTCCTGGGGGAGTTAATGTCTGAGAGATGGCAAAGGAACATCTGATCTCATCTCTTCCCTTCTGTTCAGGTTCTCAATATCTCCCAAAGAGCGAATTTATGCTACGGAGGTGGGCAGAAAGCTCCCTGACTTCTGTCTGCAGCCCCAGAGCTTACGTCCTGTTTAGCTTGAGTCAGCGCCAGTCTTCTCATGAATGACCCTCTTGTACGTTTCTTCCAACGGTTTCTATTTTGGAGTTATCCCTGTTGGCCTGTTCCACCAATCAAACAAGCCTAGCATTGAAGCCAGGTGGAGCAGGATAGGGAAAGAGAGGGTGCCCGATACGGATCTGATTTCATGGGGCACGAAGGAGAACAGAAAGGACTTCTCTTTGGAGAGCATTCTTGCTTTCGTTTATGTCCTTCATAAACCACAGGGGGGTATTGCCCCAAATGGAGGATATGTGGATAAGCAGGTTAACATTGCGTCTCTCTCTCTCTCTCTGAGCTCCTGGTTCAGATTTTACACTTGGGGAAATTGTTTTTAAAACTGAGCATCTGACAAGAGGAGAAGCGGAATGTTTCCTGCTATGTGAGATGGCCAGATTTCATAACCATCTTCAGATGCATGTGACTGACACTAACAAAACAAAAACAAAAAAACCACAGCCTGGCCTGTAATCCATCTGCTGTAGGATCATCCTGAGGGATGAGCAGGGAACACAAATGAGAGGCCAGATATGAGAGGTGTGGTGGCGCAGTGGTTAGAATGCAGCAGTATTGCAGGCTAATTCTGCCGACTGCCAGCAGTTTGATTCTCACCAGCTCAAGGTTGACTCAGCCTTCCATCCTTCCGAGGTCGGTAAAATGAGGAGCCAGATTACTAGGGCTGATATGCTGACTCTGTAAACTGCTTAGAGAGGGCTGTAAAGCACTGCGAAGCAGCATATAAATCTTATTGCTCTTGCCATATAGAAGAAGTGATCATCAACTCACAATCATTTATTGAGCGAGCGAAGTTACAAAAGGCACTGAAAAAAGTGACTTACAATCAACTCTTGCACTTGCAACTTTGGCAGCAACCCATTTGATCACACATTCAAAATTCAGGCGCTCGGCAACTGGCATGCATTTATGTATGATGGTTGCAGTGTCTCAGGGACATAAATCAAGGACGACCTGTAATATAATTTTGGCTCAGTGTTTAGACAGACCCTGGACTAACAGTAAGAATCAGAGGCTAGAGTTACATGTTGTGATAAGTGGACAAATCCAGGGTGGTACTTGGCAATTGTCAAAATACCTTCAGCATCCATCGAAGCTTCCATCGAATTAAGGTGATCTTACAAAAAGTATTTTTGAAGGGACTGCAAAGTCTCACAATTGTTCTTAACTGAGAGTTTGCCACCTTTTCAGGAGGAGGAGGTTCGAATCTTGAGAGAGTTCAGGCAGGCATGAAATGATGGTCATTCCAGGGAAGAAAAATGCACAGGCTGTTGTGAAAAATTGCGAGATGATGCTTGACTTACGCAAGCAGGAGGGTTTTTCCCCAGCTATATGGGAAGAAGTAGAAAGCAGAGCCTGGGACCTCCCATAATGCAAAGGCAGGGCTCTTGTCTTTGAGGTAAGGCTCTTCCCCCGGGGATGAGCTGGAACCCAATAAAGTAAGCAAAAGAAGACAAAAATACATCTGTCTCTGATTTGCCCTGCCTAATTGCTTAAAGTACGTTGGTATTTTAAAGCACAGAGCATACAAACAATCTTCATGATTGGCGTATTTAGTTTACTAAAGCAACTTAAGCCAAGAGCATGCACGCTATTGGAACCATTTCTGTTGGCTACAAAGCTCAGATTTATACTGAAAAAATACTGGGGAGTGAGGAGGGAATATTTAATCTGGCCTGCAGGTTTCTGCAGTGACTTCCTATTCTATTTCAGAGGTTGCCTGCCCACTCCACACCAGTGGTTGTATTCATTTTTTTTTACTAACAGTTCTGTGGGCGTGGCTTGGGCGTGGTGTGGCTTGGTGGGTGTGGCTTGGTGGGCATGCCAGAGGAAGGATACTGTAAAATCCCCATTCCCTCCCCACTTCTGGGGGAAGTTTACTGCAAAATCCCACTCCCTCCCCACCCCACTAACCTGCTTTCCAGCTCCATTCTCCTGTGCAGGGCAACCAAAGAAGACCCAGCCGATCAGCTGGGACTCAATGGGAGGCAGAGAATAGATGGGGGAGGGGCCAGTCAGAGGTGGTACTCAAAATTTCTGCTACCGGTTCTCCAGAACTGGTCAGAACCTGCTCCACACACACAACTTGGAAGCATCTTCCAAGGACCACTAACGTTGTGATCCTAAAATAGACAACTGTGAGTGAAGACATATTTTTCCAATGTCCCAATCCTAATAAGGCCAGTTCTAAACTGGTCTATTGCATACACCAGTGGTTGGGCTTAAAGTGAACCAAACCAGCCATAGTGCCTTCTTTGTAGACCCCCAACAGGGTGTTCTATGGTCTTCTTCTGTTTGCTTTCTTCTCACTAGGGAAGGCTGAGCTAGGATCACAGCACCTGTTTTTGGAGTGGAGGACTCTGCCTTTGATGGCTGAGAGGGTGAAAAATGAAGAATGAAAGAGATAGAGCTTATGATCACAATCTGTATAGCCCATCAATCCAGGTCATCAATCAACATACAATTCATTTAGTGACTGAAGTTACATCACTGGGGGGGAAAAGTGACTTTTGACTGGTTCTCCACTTACGACTGTCGCAGCATCCCACCCCCCCATGGTCGCACGATCAAAATGTAGGCCACTAGCTGTGTTTGTAATGGTTGCATGTGATCGCCATATACAATATTCTGAGCTGGCTTCTCACTAGCAAAGTCAATGGGAGAACTGAACAACCGTAGCAAAAAAAAAAAGGTTCTAAAATCATCTGGTGCTCACTTAACAAACACCTGTCTTAAATTCTGGTCCTAATCTGGGTTATACGTTGAGAACTACCTGCACTGCATTTCAAAGGAAGGCTGAGGCTGATCTTCCATCTCAGGCTGTTCATTTTTAGAGTGTTGTGTCTTCTGTGTCCATCCAGACCCCGAAAAGCTTCTCGGCGACCATTTTGCCGTTGTATCGGGGCAGGTTGCCTCCAAAGTCGGCTGGCAAGATGTCAGCATCTATCTCTTGAAAGAAGGTGGCAAGTTCATCCCCATGCACAAAGACCTGAGTAAGAAAAGAAAGGGGGAAGATGTGAGCAGGAGAAAGCTGGGGTTCTCTTGGAGCAGCTTATTCTGCTTTTTTCTTTTAAAAAAAACTGACCTAGCAATGGAAATTCTGGTCCGAATTGTGGTGATAAGCCGAAGGCTACCTGTGCTATTGTGCAGTCTTCTGTTTTGACCCAGGCTTCGTAAACCGTAATTAGTCACAAACTTATTTTAAAAACAAAACCTATTTTATTGCAACGCTGGGAATTGTTTTCATTCCCAGCCGAAATTAAACTCAAACAATCCTCCAAGATAAGCGCACACCTTTCAGTTCTATGAAGTGCTGCCAAAAACAGAAGTATCAAATTAGCTAGAAAAGAAACCAACTGAAGTACAAAAAAACCTAGCCGAAATACCAAGAGCTTCAGGGATGACTTGGAACCGATCAAACTACTTTGCTTCCTGCAAAGGTTTCATCATCTTGGCCTGACTTTTATCCCTTATGGGAGGGGCAATCACCTCCAAGCCTTAATCCCAAATTGCCCTTTTGTTTCAGCTGCTCTTGCCTTCTAGCAGCTCTGCGCACATGTGCACTGAGAACAGGCTCCCCTGGGTCCTCTGCCTTGCTGCTGCCAGACTCCGGAGGCTCCGGAGGCAGCACCCCACTCCCAGATGGTCCTGGCCCCATCTCTGCATGGATTCAGGACCCTCGTCCGAGTCCTCTCCAGACTCCCTGACTGGTC